CCTGCCTGCAGTCCAGATCTTTCACCTATAGAGAATATTTGGCGCATCATTAAACGAAAAATGCGTCAAAGGCGACCACGAACACTTCAGCAGCTGGAAACCTATATAAGGCAAGAATGGGATCAAATTCCAACACCAAAACTCCAGACACTCATAAACTCGATGCCCAGACGTCTTCATACTGTTTTGAAAAGAAGAGGAGATGTTACACCATGGTAAACGTGCCCCCGTCCCAACTATTTTGAGACCTGTAGCAGGCATCAAATTTGAAATGAGCTCATTTAGTGGATAAAAGTGTACAATTTCTCCGTTTAAACATTTGTTATGTTATCTATGTTCTATTGTGAATAAAATATTGGCTCATGTGATTTGAAAGTCGTATAGTTTTCATTTTATTCAAATTTAAAAAACGTCCCAACTTTTCCGGAATTCGGGTTGTATGTTGTGATAACAAATCTTGAAAATATTTTTTACAGTGTACATGTATTCTAAAAATACATTTTAGAAAAGGAAGCTGATATTTTGAATTATATATGTCACAGCATTCCTGTTTTACCATATTCTTTAACAGATATACAGCCTACAGAATACAGCCTTGGTGATGACCATATGGAGTCCAGAGCCCTGGTGCAGGTTGTTGCTGTGGGCCCTTCACATTCCGCATTTCATATTTCTTTTAATGAATAATTTAAAAAAAATATTGTCATTATTATTATCCATCTCACAATCCTTGTAACATTGCTTGCTTTGCTTTGTGAGGTACAATATTCCATGCAGTAGGCTCAGACATTTAGGTCATCCGCAGAGCTGATTTAAGGGGACCAGGTCCTCCAAAGCCTCAGGGCTCCTTGGCGCATAAACCATGAGGTGATCGCTATAGGGCCACCAGACTCTTCAGATCATGCAGAATGAGCTGTCCACTAGTGTCTCTGGGGCTGTTGGCACATATAGTTCAAGCTGGCCACTAAGGCCACTAGCCCGCCAGCACACACACCACGAGCTGAACACGAGGGCCTTGAGGCCCATCCGCACACAGCGCAAGCTTAACACCAGGGTCACTGGCCCCGTCAGCATGTACAGCTGAGCCCCTATAGTTGGCAAGTTATGAGGAGGTTACACGTCCCTTCATCTCAGCCTCTTGAGTAATCCAATCGTTCTTGTATACAATGTTTCTGAAACAATGGATTTTCAATTATTGTCATGCAAAATGATCAGTACAAATTAGCAAGAGGTGCAAGCCATCTAAAGTCTACTTTTGCAGATTCTGGCACTGTTTACATTCACTTGTGCACATTGTGTAACTGTTTGGCTAATTATTTTATCAAGATCAAAATCGTTTTTCTTCAGAAAATGTGCATTAAAGAATAGTTCACAGTATTAACATAGGGTCGATATTGATTTTGTTCACTTTAATATACACCCGACCTGAGCAAAATAAAATAATATAATCATTAAAAATGATTAAATAATATACTAATAAATCCTATCAGATCAATGTACATTTTAGTAATTTGATATAAGAGTCAAATGGCAAAAAATGTAAACTACCATTCAAAAGATTTTATTAATGAAGTCTCATGCTCACCAAGGCTGCATTTATTTGATCAAAATAGAGTAAAAACAGTAATACTGTGAAAGATTACAATTTAAAAGTTAGAGAATAATTGAAAAACCATAAACTTTAACTAAAAATAAATTTAATCTATTTTAAAATGCATCCCTGTGATGCCAAAGCTGAATTTTCAGCATCATTACTACAGTCTTCAGTGTCACATGATCGTTTAGAAATCAAGCTAATAGGATGATTTGATGTTTAAGAAACATTTGTTTTAATTATCAATTATCAGCTAAAAAACGTATATCTGGATTATTCGATGAATAGCAAGTTAAAAGGAACAGTATATATTTAAAATGGAAATATTATGCAACATGATAAATGTCTTTACTGTCACTTTTAATTAAAAAATGGAATAATAGCTCATTAATTTTAAACATATTTAAATATTAGAATTAGTTAATGGTTTTGCATGAAGAAAATCAACAAACAAACAAAAAACTAGGGCAGATATGCTTTCAATACTGCCCGAGGTATGTGTCCAGTGACCTCAGAGGACCATCAACTTGCCCTGGTACTCAAGGTAGGCCTACTCACTGCAAACTACAGACATCATATGAGTAGTAGGCCTATGATATGACACTGAAAATAACCATAGACAAGAGAGAATCACACATGTGAGCCAACCAACCTGACAGAAACCCATGTGAGAGCCTAAGCTGTGAATCCTGCTGAAAGACTTGCATTCAGCCCAAGAGACAAGCCAGATGATACAATATAGTAGCAGTCACATATCACGCTCACAGGTGATAACTTAGCTCCTGACAGAGTTTATGATGTTTAAGAGCCCCAAGAGCATACATCTTCAGCAAAAAAAGAGAAGCTATTTGACAACACTTTGTCTGGGATGAACATTTTCTCACAACAGTGAAACTTCCACACATAAGTGATTATCCTCAAAACATAGCCTGCCTTTTAAAGATTTAGAGGTCACAATGTAACACGTAATCCAAATTAGCATGTGTAATTGCCAGGCATATACAACTGCATGAATAATGAAACTTGACGAGTTGGTGAGTACACACATATAGATTAAATTTGCATATTGTCAAGAATGTGGACGTGCATGTAAGATGCAGACTCATTGTGGAATGCAAGAGCCCCATCTGTTGAGCTGCATGAAGAGTTACAGTACTGCAGTGCACTAAGTGTGCAAATGAGGACCAGGATTTATTGAGGATCAAAAAACCCTCTTTTACCCACCAGCCATTTCTTCCTCTCCCCCTCTTTCTGTAGGAGACCTTCTGAATCACATTCCATAAATATTAACACTGCCGGCTGGGGCAGTATCGCATACTGATCCTGTAGCCATCTCACGTCCACATGGTCTGATATCATCGATTCAACAGTCACGCGAAAGAAAGACAAATGTATGGAGTCTCTCTTTAAAACACCTGCCTCTCTCTCTCTCTCTCTCTCTCTCTCTCTCTCTCTCTCTCTCACTGACGTCACAAGGACTGCAGCTGTCTCAGTCACTAGTGTAGCATATATCCAACACAGTGGAGCAGTTATCAGGCGGAGAAAAGACTAATAGGATTCAAGACTGACGGAGAGAATGAAAAGGGAAGAACAGAAAGATCATAAAACACAAGGCAAAAAAAAAAAAATCCAAATACAGAATTAAACGCATGACTAAATAATCAGTTAATAGTCTATAAGCCTATAAAACAAGTTCTACCAGAAAGACTCAGGAGGCAAAATACCGAAACAAGCCTATATATTTATTAACAGCCCAGCAACCAAATATTATGATATAAATTTCTTTGGTGTATAGGCTCCGTCCATAGCTCGTTAGCTACGATAAAGATTTCATTTCCAGCTTTCAGTTTCACTGTTTTAGTTTTTCTTTTGCAGGTTATGCTACATTGGCTGCATACAAAATCACATAAGCCTACTTCCCTGCTAAAAGAGAGTGTGAAAAGAGTAGGCCTATGTCTGAATTCACAGTCTTCATAAAACTGTGGGTGAAAAGTACTAGGGCCTGCCAAGGCTAGACTAGTCTTGGCAGTTAGTCATCCAATTCCCCCCCCCCCCCCCGAACTAACTTCTAGTTGGTCAAGTCAAGCCACCTTTATTTATATAGCACTTTTTACAATACAGATTGTATCAAAGCAGCTTCACAGTGATAACATGAAATACACCACAGATCAATCATATTGTTGCATATCAAATGTCCCCAACTAAGTAAGCCAAAAGTCGAAGTAATAACGCTGGTGCCGATATCAGTGCCGATGGCTGTCGTGTCGATGAGGCCGGCACTTAATGAGTTGGGATTGTTCCAGGCGCAGGTCCACCATAGAGGATCCCTCGAGATAAACAGAGAGACTAATATCAGCGTAGACGCCATCCTTCTTATGATGTACCAAGTACATCAGGATTTACGGGACGTGTTCCCGGTTCCGGTTGATCTAAACTATGCACCCTAATTTTGAATTAAGGAAGTCTATTGTGTGTTATGTGTATGCTAGGCCAAAGAGATGGGTTTTTAGTGTAGATGTAGATTTGAATTGATGGAGTGTGTCTCCTTCCCGGACAATGTATAGGAAGATTGTTCCAGAGTTTTGGTGCTAAATAGGAAAAGGATCTACCGCCTGCAGTCGATTTCGATGCTCTGGTATTTTCAACTGTGCTGAACAATGCTCAGGTAGGCCGTGTCATTTAAACGATGCCCAATTGGCACTAAGGGGCCTAAAGTGTGCCAAGAAAACATCCCGCACTCCATGACACCACCACCACCAGATTGCACAGTGGTAACAAGGCATGATGGATCATGTTCTCAGTTTATTTACACCAAATTCTGCCAAATCCTGTTTACGCCAAATTCTTATTCATCGTCTGGTATTGTTTAAAGCCCTTTGAAGCTGCACTGAAAATCTCATTTAGACCTTGAACCGTTTGGTTCCCATTGAAGTCCATTATATGGAGAAAATCCTGGAATGTTTTCATCAAAAACCTTAATTTCTTTTCGACTAAATAAAGAAACATGGATATCTTGGATGACATGGGGGTGAGTAAATTATCAGCAAAAGCTTTTTTTAAAGTGAACTACTCCTTGCACTAATGTTAACTTTGGGATCTTATTTAAAGTGTTAATAATAAAAATTGTAGGCTACTGGTATATGACAGAGTTTCAAGAAGAAGAAAAAAAGCTCAAGTTTCACCCTCTCGGTCTGCAATTTTACTCTTTTTGTTTCAGGTCATCACATGGCTAACTCCAGGCATGACTTATGTTGGCTCATAAAGTTGTTTCCTTCAAGCCATTTACCCAAAGAGGCTAAATAAGTGCTGAAGAGATTGGTTATAACAGTTTCTCATTTTTCAGTCAATGTGCTCTGCTACAAAACATTGTAGCTTTCTCTTGGTTCCTTCTCTGCCCATACAGTTTGGTTGGTCTGTTCTTCCAAGTTCCAGGGATTGCCAAATGTGTATGTATTAACATAGCCTACCTACAATGTCTGTTATATATTTATCGAAACTTAACAAGATCTTGAATATATACTTCGTATGATAAATGTTTCAGAAGCAGTCCAATCATTGGCATTGTGTCACTTCTGTCACTGTTAATCTTCACACCTTGAGAGAGTCAGATAACCAACTTCATGTGCCCAAAATCTGTAGGCTACATATTGTCTTACATGAACAATTTCTCAGCATATAAACTTAACTTTCTTCTTCTGCTGTTACTGTATGTGTCAACTAAGTATGCCATAGATAAAATCATCTTCCAGTAATATCTTGTGGGCTACTTCACTTCTCTAATTAAAATTGGTTGCAATATCCTGACACCTTGTGGTGAAGATGGGCATTTGCACTTTTCACCTTAAATTCATGTTTTTTGTTGTTTTTAAAGTTCATGTTATTCAGTGAAATTGAGTTCGTGTGTGTTTATATATACATATAATAAATTCACATAAATCAACATAGTATAAAGTATAAATTTGTCAGATATGTGTATGTATATTTAATGTAGTCTATGTTTAACTTACTGTCATTGACGACTGCATTAAGACTCTTTCTTTTTGTATCCCATTAGTTAAAATGTGTTTTAATCCAACATTCCTCTATGTCGTTTTTAAAAAAGAAATAAATATAGCCTACTGCGAAAATAACGCCAATAAATAATAAACAAACCAGTAGGCAGATCCGATCCGATAGAAATGCTATAGACCCCTTTTGCGCCGACGTCACAGTTACGTCACGGCGCTAGCTGGAGGCAAAACAAGTGAAAACTGCAGGCGGCCAATGCAAAACAGCAAAGATTCGGCTACATAATAAGGAGCTTAAATAATTGTTACTATTATTAAATGTCATCTTGTTGTGTTGTTTGGTGTAAGAATTGATGAAAAATGAATATGCTGTATCTGGAACTTTTATTTCTAGAAAATATTCACATCATTAAAATCGCACTGTAATGTCACTCTTTATATTGTCGTGGTCTCGGCGCTGGCTCGGCAGAACTGTGGATCGTACACACAAGTCTTGTACAGGACCATATAGGCATCTAAAGATTTATATGCCTCAGTTTCTCTTTACGATCGTTTTCTCTATAAGGTAGGTGTAGAAGTCAGGCCACTCAACCGAGGTAACTAGCGTTAGTGAAGTGGCCAGATAGATCTTTTTGCCTCCACCTAAGCTCCGCCCACAAAAAACGTCACCATGTTTACCAACTGTAAAAGGGTCTATACATGGACAGCAAATAAAACGCTTTAAAGTTTAAACCCTTTAAACATATGTCGTAAACAGAGACCGTGCGAATGAATAAACTGCTTAATCAACGTTGTAAACGTCATGACGTTTAATCAAGACGGCGGATGGAGATGATGTTGTGTTGGCAGTTTGCGTTCCTGCTCTCTGCTACATGGCTTCTGAGCTGCAGTAGGGGTTCAATCTTCAACTGGCTGGCGGCAGGAGCCGACTGCCAGTGGCTGGCTGGCGGCTGCCAGTGGCTGGCTGGCATGTTACGTGTCAGTGGTTGCTATAGTTGTCTGTCAGTCTGCCTTTGGCAAGTTTCAGAAACCATTGATTTTTGACAGTTTTTTGTGTTCCTCCCTTTATAGCTCATTTATTATGAATCTGTTGATATGAATAATGTTCTTTATTTATTATTGCTATTTTGTGGACTGTTATTCCAATTTAACCAGTCAATTGGCCATGATCAGACTGGCAGCTTACAGACGCTCGAACGAAATCAGTGGATCTCTTCCTCTGTGATCTAATTCTTGTTCCTTTGCACCTTGGCTTGCACTGGGCTTTGGCTGTAAGTAATTTATGAATAGCAATGCCTTTGTAACACATTATTTCTGTACTGTATGATTTAAAGTGTAAAAAATTCAAAAAAAAAAATCAATATTTGAAAGAAATAGAACCTTTTACCTCCATTGCTTATCACCAGGTAATTGATTTCAAATCCCTGACTATCCAACATGGGTCAGAGACATGATGACATCTGCCACATATTGTTGTGAGTTATGTCCAATTGCAACTTACCTCAAAGGGCATTGAAGCCATGTATGGATGTCTCATGTGTGATTAATTAACAGGAAATACCTCATGGAGGAGAACAAAATCAAAAAAACCTGCTGCTTTGAGGCTTCCAGATGGACCATCGGCCGAATGAGAACCAACGTATGCATACCCTCATATGCATACGAAGTTATACAAATATTCTTTAAACTGTGTCCTTTTTTAACCGTTACTTACTTGGATTTTTGTTTCTAGGCAATTCCCAGACAGGCAAATGGAAATGACTGTGGGGTTTTTATCTGCAAATATGCAGACTTCCTTTCTCAAGGAAAGCCACCTACCTTCAGACAGGTACATGACCAAGCTACTATATTTATATTTCTCTCAAAACAGATTCTTAACACTTGTTTGACTTTATCAATAACCATATCTATCCACTAACACACTAGTACCTACCTCACTCTAAACTTAGGACTAACATGGAACACTTTCTGAACACCAACTGTCTCACTGATAAATCTTAAAGCTTTTTTTTTTTTTTTTTGGTCAAAATACATCAAAGTGTGTCTGTACATGAGTGTTCTCTCTTTCTATATAGTTTGACATTCCAGTTATACGAAAGGTGATGGTGTGGGAGATAGTACATCAGCAGATCCTGTAAGGATTGTGTCCTGAGACATCCAAATGCTGAAGTCCTGCCTTATTATGCTTGCTGTCAATTTGATATTCTCTTTTTTTTTTTTTTTTTTATAAAGTTGGATATGAACTATTTGTGGTGTTTTAAGATAGCAGTGGAAAAAGTACAGTAAGTTAGTAAACCGGTTCTAAGGTTTAACTCAAATTTTACACAAGTTCTAAGATAATTTCACATAAAATCTATATTTATATTCTAATACTAATAGACCTAAATACACTATTTCTATGTGTATTAGAATATAAATATAGTTTGTTTAAAATTATCTTAAAACTTGTAAAGTCTGTGAGCTAATTAAATTGATGCACTTTGCATAAAAACATTCTAACACAACCCCTGTAAACACACACACAGGTATCTGATGCAGATATACAGTTAGGACAGGTATCGCATGAAACCCCTGTAAACACACACACATGTATCTGATGCAGATATAAAGTTAGGACAGGTATCTCATGAAACCCCTGTAAACACACACACATGTATCTGATGCAGATATACAGTTAGGACAGGTATCGCATGAAACCCCTGTAAACACACACACAGGTATCTGATGCACATGTACAGTTAGGACAGGTATCGCATAAAACCCCTGTAAACACACACACACACACAGGTATCTGATGCACATGTACAGTTAGGACAGGTATCTCATGAAACCCCTGTAAACACACACACAGGTATCTGATGTACATGTACAGTTAGGACAGGTTGGTGAAACCCCTGTAAACACACACAGGTATCTGATGCACATGTACAGTTAGGACAGGTATCGCATGAAACCCCTGTAAACACACACAGGTATCTGATGCAGATGTACAGAGGTATCTCATGAAACCCCTGTAAACACACACACAGGTTGAAGATTGAACCCCCACTCCTGAGCTGAGACAACACGGCTAACGTGAGCAGTATGTTGCCAAACGACTCTTATTCAACTCTCTATGTTGACTAGTTTCGCTTGAAAGCTCGTATGAAGCGCAAAGTGAAGTTTTCAGATATGATGTACAGTAAATGTTAAAAAGACTGGTATTTCTCTTTAATTATAAAGAGACAAAAATATGGTTTACTTTCCTCAATTTAAAATCACAGTTACCGTGTCTGCCATTGAAAGTAGTTTTTTTTTTTTTGCTTTTTCAAGCAGACACAATCTTAATAGGATGGGAACTATTTTTTTAGGAAATCTCTTTTAGCGGAAGGATACAATACTTCAGTGCGAGACACGAACAGGTATATGACGCAAAACAGTGAACACACAGTCGGTCTGTCCACCACCATCACAAAACCCGAGTTACAAGTTCACATGCCATACTTGCTCCCTATCCGCAAAATATATGCTTAATTGTACAACGAAGTACATCTCCTCAGAAAGAAGATTCAGCATGACGTAAGGTAAGAAGATAGATAACATTTGTTGTTTTGCTAGCTCGGTGGCTAATCGTAGCGGCAAGTGCATTGATTAACGTTACTGATGCTTGGATGGCTTCTGCCAGCCAGCGACCAGTTAGTATCTCAGAGCTAAAGGTGACTATCATACATTTTTAGTGTACAGTTTGCGTGTCATTTAACGTTAAATGTATTTTCTCAGTAACGGTAAAGCGGCACACAGATTTGAATGTCCTCTCAGGAGTACTTTGCACGTATTGAGAGCAGTATGTTCATATTTGGAGGGCTTGGTTGCTATAATTTGCCCTTTATATGTAATAATACTGAATAGAAAATGATATTATATTATGGAACGAACAGTTCTAGGGTGTTCAACTCGAATCAAAATGAAGTTTGATTGTCTAAAAGCAGCAGTGTTTTAACAGTGCGCAACTTAGTTGAAACGCACTACGATTACAGATGATTGTCCTCTAATGTCGCTGCCTGAAGGGATGTATTTCCTGTATTTTATTAGGTTTGGTTTCCCCAAACCTTTATTAGTACAGCAGGTCCGTTATTCTGAATGATTCATTGTGAACTGCACCCGTGCAATAGTTCGCGAGCTCGTTTCAGGTGCCATATGGTAAAATGACTCGTCCTGTCATTGATTACTCCTTTTGTAAAGGTCTCCATATAATGCAAATGAAAAATACGGTCATGCTGGTCACATCATTTCTTCTCTGGGACACAAAATATGAACCTAGACATTCAGAATATTTTGTACTGACAGCTTTAGTCACCATTCACTTCATTGCACATTTTTCCATAAAGTGAAAGGTGATGGAGACTCTTATTCTGCCTTGCATCTCTTTTTGAGTTGTGTTCCACAAAAGAAACTCATGGGTGAGGACTCTTTTACTTTTCATAAACTATCCCTACATTAAATTATTTATAAAATATATATTTTTCTTTCATTGTATTAGAATAATAATTACATACATACATATAGGGGTGGGCGATATGGAAAAAATATCATATCACGATTTTTTTAGGAAAATCACGATCACGATTTTTTATCACGATTCTTTTTCAAGTTGGTTTTAATATTTTGCAAGTGGCTGTTCATTACAGCCAAACTAATGTCCCTATGTTAAAAACAAAGCCTTAGGTAACAAAAGAAAAAAGAAAGCCACACATTTAGGCCAGTGGCGAAGATAAAAATCTTTGTCATTATTTTCTTTGTTATTAAAAAAATAAGACAAGATAAACATTACACAAATTAATATTCAAATTAAATAAATAGTGCATTATTTTTTCAGATGCACTAGGTGTATTTAGCAGTAACATTGAAGAAAGTAATTAAATTAAACAAATATGAAATTAAAATAGACTTCACTGAATACATTGATTCTTATTAAAGCTACTATTAAAGTTCTCAGTCAGTGAGTGATTTTCTCCTTGTGTTTTTTTTTTCTTTTACTAAAGGGATAGTTCCCTCAAAAATGAATTAGTTTCTTTCTTCTGTTGAAAATAAAAGTTATTTTGAATAATGTAGGTAACCGAACAGTTGCTGGTCCCCCTGTTCTCTCCTGGAAGTTAATGGGGACCAGCAACTGTTTGGTTACCCACATTAAAAAAAATCGTCTTTTGTGTTCAGCACAAGAAAGAAATGAATACAGGTTTGGAACAACATTAGAGTAAGTAAATAATGACAGATTTTTTTTTTTTTGTTTTTTTTTTGTGAACTATCCCTTTAAGGACATGCGGCAGTACTATTTATTCCTGTCGCTTTTAGACCAGCACGCGACGCGTTTAATATGGACGCATTTTACACCAGATATTCTCTCAAATGTTTGCTTTCACTTTAGACACAGCCTGTTTTTGTAAACATTTTGTGTATTTAACAGTATTAGCATAATAAGACTCGAAAGATAACTTAGTCCAGTGTTCTGGCGCTGTTGACAGGCTGCTAGTGCCTGTGAGCGTCGGGGGTTATGCGGTCAGGAAAGCGCACGTTAGAACAGCGCATCAGCGCGTGAATTAAATGTTTAACCGGCAAGGCTTATGCAAATAATGAACTTTTGTGAATTGCAGTGTCCCATACCTATTCATTCACGTGTGGTGTGTAGGCTACGTCGCGTTGTACAGTTGAGACGGGGCGCCAGAACTGAACTGATAGAATGCACTGTAAGACGATACTACGATATTTCTTCAAAAGCAGATCGTGGAGACATTTTAATCGTCCACGATTAAAAATCGTCATATCGCACACCCCTACATACATATATATATATATATATATATATATAATGTTTTTTACATAAACAATTGTCACAATTTAGAAATAAATGACTATTACCCTGATTTTAGCCCTATGATTTGAATGCTCTGTTTGAAGGGGTGTGTCTGCTGTGAGACTACAGTGTGAACGACCACTACTGTGATTGGCTAACACTCATAATGGATCTCATCATTCCAATGCGATTTCTGCACTCTCACAACATGCTTTCATGCAAACACGATGTAAATATGCTAAGAGCTTCATTGTGCAGTGTAAACAGTGTAATAACAGGAAGTTTTGGCAAGTGTCCAGATAAACTGTGTGTTGACATTTTTGGTGACCGTAAAGGAAGCATTCGTTGATCACATCCTGCATGTAATTTAATCACAATTTAAATAACAGTTTATATTCATGGTGATCATTTAGTCTCTGGTTTGATTTACTGATGCAACAGTATTGAGGGATTTTGAGACAAAGAAAATCTGTCGGAACTTCAATATTCGCACATCAGAAATCCCTGATCACAGATCAGGCATTTGGAATGAACATGATTACTTGCATGTTTGTGGCGTTGCTGACGGATCCAAATCGTAATGTGTTTGAAGAACTTCAACCTGGGCAAAATTGCGACTGAAATTCCAAATAATTCAATGTGAAATGTATTGAATACAAATGAATAATGCACTTCTGAGACTTGCACAGTTGGAAAAAAAACACTTTCCTTGTATAAGTTCCTTTGGGGGATAATGTTATCAACCCTTTGTCGTCACTATTCACTAACGTGACAGTGGGCGACGCAACGCCAAAGACTCAGTGACTTAGATGTAGGCTAGGTGTTGATCATCTTCTGCAAATGTATTTCACTACACTATCATAATTCCACACTTTTCAGAGCCTGTTGTTTTTTTGGCCTTGATCTCAATAAAAGTTTTTGGATAGTTTTGGGTTACAGGATATTTTATAGTATAACGACGACCCCGTAACTGTCAAAAGATCAAGCAAAATTAGAATTCTCATTTCATTAACCCTTTAGCTCTACTCCTTCCATCCCAAAAAAACCAAACACGGTTTTCATGAACATCCCCTTACATAACACGATACTCTAATAACGAATGAATCATAATTGTGACAAAATTAAGGGGCTATAGCAATCACTAAAAGGGCAACTAAAAGAAAAAAACATATATTAGGAGTATGTTATCTACACAGTCTTGTAACTTTGTCTTTTTGTCTGATTTTTCAAATACTTTTTTGCTTCAAATCCAAAAATCGTAATGAAAAACTGAATGAAAAACTTCCGGAACCAAGGCCGCTGAAACAGTGGGCGGGCACGCTTGCAATTCGCAAGGTTTGAAAGATTGAGATTTAATGTGCTTGTATTGTAGTCATGGGTCTCATTCACTAATAATTGTGCACTCTTTTT